AGAACAGTAGGAGATATGTCAAAAAAAATGGGACTTGAAGCTCTTGCCTACCAACGAGCCGACAGCTGATGGCTATGGCTGTTGGTCACGACTACTACTAGAAAGCTTTAATGAAAATGAATTAGTGTGTACCCCACTCATTGGGGATTACATTTTTTTTTTTTTAAAATATATATTATTTAATTTTTTAATAAAAATTATGATTATATAATTCACTTGATCATTTAGTTCTGATTATTTTTAATAAAATGTCATATTTTTAATTTTATAAATCAATGGTAAAGATATTTTAGTAATTGAATGTGATTGATTTTTTATTATGTTAAAATTTAATACATAATTTACTAGAAGCATTACAGTAATTTTGAAACACCATATTATATGTCAACTTCCTATGAAGCACTCAAAAAGATATTTATGTAATTATGGTATAAGGGGTATTATAATAATTTTAATTAATTATGGTGGAAGGGCATTTTTGTAAGTATAATATGAAGGTATTATAATAATTTTGGACAATTACGATAGGAGGGGTATTATTATAATTATAATAGAAGAGTATTATAATAATTTGATCAATTATAGTAGAAAAGGCATTTATATAATTTAATAAGATGGTATTATAATAATTTTGACTAATTAAAAAAAGAATAATGTTTTCATAACTGTAGTGGAAAGGCATTATAATAAATTTAAATATGTGTCAACATCATATTAAATAAAAAGTAATGTCTATGAAAATTATTTTAATATATGTTATTTAACATTTAATATATAATTTAATAGGGGTATTATAATAAATTTCAAACAAAATTTCACATGTCAAATATTTATGAAGTAATGGTAAGTGTATTTTAAAAATTTAATATGTAATTAATTTTAAATTATGTTAAAATTTTATATGTAATTTAACAAGGGTATCAAATAAAATACCACATGTCAAATTTTTATAAAGTAATTACAAGAATATATTAATAATTTAGTATGTGATTAATTTTATATTATGTTAAAATTTAATATATAATTTAATAGAGGTATATAGTAATTTTGACAAAAATGTCACATGTCAACTTCCTATGAAGTATTCATAAAAGTATTTTCGTAATTATAATACAAGAGATATTATAATAATTTTTTGTTAATTATGATAAAGATATTTTCATAATTTTGGCATGAGGGATATTTTAATAATTTTAGCTAATTATAATAGGGGTATTTATGTAATTATTTTAAGAAGGTATTATAATAATTTTAGCCAATTTTAAAAAGAAAAGTATTTTCGTAATTATAGTAGAAAAACATTATAATAAATTTAGTGGTGTGTCAAAATCATATCAAATAAACAAAAGGTTACTATAGTAATTATCAAAGGGGTTATTTTAATATATATTATTGATTTTGAAACAAAATACCACGTATCGACTTCCTATTAAATATTTGTAAGGGTATTTCTATAATTATAATAGAAAGGGCATTATAATAATTTTGATCAATTATGAGATAAAGATATTTCATAATTATGGTAGGATGACATTATAATAATTTTGATCAATTTATAAAAGAAATGATATTTTCATAAATATGGTATGAGATATTATAGAAAATAATTATAACAGAAATAATATTTTTATAATTATGGTATGTGATTATAATAATTAATTTGGTCACATGTCAATTTCTTAGCAAACAATGAAAAAGGTATTTTAATAATTTCTTAAGAGTATTTTCATACATATGGTATGAGAGTATTATAGTAAATAATTATAAGATAAGATGTATTTTCATAATTATGGTATAAAGATAAAATAATCAAATTGGCAACATGCAAATTTCATATCAAATAATAAAAAAAAGGGTATTTTAATAATTTTTGAGAAGGTATTATAGTAAATAATTATAAAATAAGAGTATTTTCGTAATTATGATATAAATGTATAATAGTCTGTTTGGTCATATATCAATTTTTTATCAAACAATAAGAAGGGTATTTTAGTAATCTTAAGAGAATATATTATAATAAATAATTATAAGAGAATTAATATTTTTATAATTATAATATGAAAACATAATAATTAATTTGATCACATGTTAATTTTTTATTAAATAATGAAAAAAATATTTTGATAATTTCTCATAATATGTTTTTCATATAATGTACAGATATTTCACATGGAAGAGTACATGCATCTTTTTGTATGATGGTGTTCTTCTGTCATATGACCCAGCGGCTTATATGTGACCTGTGGCTCATGCCTCCTATTGGTTCAAGGTGGATGATGTAAACTCTGATTTGATGTGGGTTTTTAATCTTACTATTGAGACGCTCAATTGATTCTATAAAATGTTAAACTTTTAGTTTTAGTAATTAATTTTATTCTTACACAAAAATCAAAATGTAAAGAAAATAAAAAAGAGAAATTTGCATTCAACATTAATCTTGATCAAATTTAGATCTTAAAAAAGGTGAATGAACCATTTAGGATAAATTTTAAAATTGTTAAATTTAATTTTAGATAGCCTTAAATTTTAACATAAAAAATTATTTATTTATTTTAAGTATTTAATGTTATTTTATAAAATCAAGTAAGTGTTTTTTTTTTTTTTGTCACCACATAAGCATTTGATTGAATTGCATGTTTAAATGTATATGACAGCTAAAAAAGAAAAGTTCAAATTCAAATATTTCTTTTTTAAAAGATAGTTATATACAAATAAAAATATATACATATGCGCACATAATTACTTTTTTTTTACTTCAATTTTTTAATTTTAAAAAAATTATTGGATATAATATCAGTGAAATTTTTTAATTTCACAAATATGATTAACATGATGACATATGTCTCATTTTTTTTATTAATTTTTATTTATTTTTAAATATATCATAAGAGACAAGTGTCCTCTATTATTTTTATTTGTAAAGTTAAAAATTTACACTGAAAATGTTTTTTTTTTATTTTTTTAACTTAATATAAAAAACCATCTTATTTATTTATTTTTCAAAAATGACATTACATAATAGTTATATTTGCACATGTATATATATTTGTGTGTGTACGTGTGTGTTTCTTATGTGCATATAGTATTATCTTTTTCAAAACTATTTCTTTATATATATATATATAGAGAGAGAGAGAGAGAGGGGATGGATCAATTTACACAATGTTAATTTTTTTTTAGTTATACATTTTTTAAAAATTTTTAATTTTAATAAATCCAATGGACAATAAATAAGTAAAAATAAGAAAAAAATAGATTAATATCATCCCTTTAATATATTAAAATAAATTATTAAAAACTATAACATTTTTTTATGTAAGTTGATTCATTCCCCATATATAAATTATTTTTTTTTTTCAATTTGTACTTGTCACTCTCATCATTTGAATATATCAAAATCAAATGTTAAAAAAATATATAAAATTTTTTTGGTTTTAAACTATATAAATTAATTCTTCACAAATATATATTAGTGCAATAAACCAATCTTAACATAAAGGATAAAAAAGGGAATTCGCAAATCTGCACCTCAACCGTAAGTTATTCTATTTTCCCATTGTTTTAAGCATGTGTGAGACTTCTTGTCTTGGATGGAAATGTTACCGTGCACTTAGGCGGGAAACAGGTAAAGAGAATTTCTTAAGTACGGCCATTTGATCATTTTTTTTTTCTTGCAAAATAACCTGATAGATTATTCAATCTCTTAATTTAAGATAAGATATGTTGTATTTGATAATTTAAGATAAATGATTGTAGGTCGTATATTCAAGATGATTTCAATAAATAATCACTTACATGATTTAAACTCGAAATCTCTTCATTAAAAAAGATAAATTTAATCGATTAAACTAATCACTTATAAATATTTTTTTAATTTTTATAGTTTATTAAGAAAAGTGATATTGAATCTCTCGTTCAAAAAGGATATTGAAAGGTTGCAATAACAAGAGATTTATTACCGTACTGCCAAATTCAACTATTTTGATACATAAAAAGTATATCAAAGGGAAATAGCATTTACAACTTAGGTATATATAGCAACCGTTAGTTAAAGTAGACTCTAAAGTCTAAAATAGGAAATAAACGATCCTAACTCTGCTGATGGAATCTAAAAACTCGATTAATGGGAAATGAGATAATTTGACATAAGTTATTTCATTTTTGTGAATTGTGATCCAAATCTTGAGGCCAAATCTGCAACTGAACTCATCAGAGATGTTAGGACATATCACTGTCAAAGCAGTGGAGAGATACCCTTTTTAGATGGCAATAGCCAACACAGACCATGATTGGGGGGGGGGGGGGGGGGGGGGGGAGGGGAAGGCATAGAAAGTGCAATGCAGGGTCTCTGTCAGCTGAGCTCTGGTGACCACTGAATGGAGCGCCCTAATTATTTCCTTAAAATATAGAGATAGATAGGGAGCTCCTTTCTTCCCTACAAATAAATTGAAAAAGAAAAAAAAAACCAACGTTCAATTAATTAAGGAATCTTCTTAAATAGACCATTTGGTTCCTCCCACCCCACAACCAAAAAAAAAAGAAAAAAAATGCAATGAATGCTACCCTTTAATTTCAGAAAAGAAATAATGTGCTTGGTGTGCTTAGAAAGTGACTGAATTTTTCTAGTTTAGATTGAACGGTTACGCAAAAAATAGAAAAAAATTATGAGTATCATGTAAATACTCTGTCATTATCCCTTTTTGATTTGAAACGTTGAAAAGATTTGCAAAAGGGTATTCGAGTAATCAAAGATTTGGATTTTTATTTTACCATGTTTTAATTGTATGATAAGAAATATAATTTTACTCCATTAACGGTAGGTAAAATCAACACAAGGTCAAAAAAAAAATACATGCACTACTTTAAAAATTATACTTGGATTTTGCAAAGTTCAGATATAGTCTTTTAATTAATTAGTTAATTAATTAATCCAACAAAACAGTGAGAAGGCAGACAGAAGAGACCCACCCCACTCCCACAAACACATACTAGTATTTTTTTTAATATAATGATGTTTGGTTTTCCATTTCTTGGAAAAGCAAATCAATAAAAATTGGAAAGAAAGGAAAAAGAAAAGGAAATTTCATTCTCATTTCTTCCCTAGATAGAATAAATTGCCAAGCAGATACACAAGGCCTGATGGCTCTTCTCTATAGTTAGTAACGCCTCTGCCTTTTTCTCTTTCTATGACATTCATGCATTAGCAAAATCGTCACCTGTTTTCGTATTTAAATACCATCAATCCCCTCCTACAATCTCTTCATTCCCAGTATTCTCTCCTCTTTCTCCTCTGCTTTGCCTCTGCTTTCCTTACTCTTTTCACATCTATTTGTCTGTGCACAAACAACCATGGTTGTCCTGTCACAACCTGCAGCATTAGACCATTGCTCTTTGATCAAAACATGCAAGCCTACCAGTGTTTTCACAGGAATTCCAGTGATAGACCTGAGAGACCCTGAAGCTAAGACCCTCATAGTTAAGGCCTGTGAGGAGTATGGCTTCTTCAAGCTGATCAATCATGGTGTTCCAATGGAATTCATGACCAGATTGGAAGCTGAAGCTCTTAGGTTCTTTAATCTCCCCCAGTCTGAGAAAGACAAAGCTGGTCCTCCTGACCCTTTTGGCTATGGCAGCAAGAGAATTGGACAGAATGGTGATGTGGGATGGATTGAATATCTCCTTCTCAATACCAATCCTCAAGTCACCTCCCTCAAAACTCTTATCGTTTTCAGGGAAAACCCTGAAATTTTCCGGTAATACTTTTTTTTTTTAACAAATAACTGTTTGTTTAACTCTTAATTTACGTTCCTTTTTTGTTTCGAGATTTTAAAAACAAAGAAATTTAAGTTGTTTTATAACAGGTTAAGGATTGAATAATATTGTCTTCAATAAAATTGTTAGACTAATTTTGGCATTTTGATGAAGCAGCTCTGCTGTGAATGACTATATCCTGGCAGTGAAGAGAATGGCATTCGAAGTACTGGAACTGATGGCTGATGGTCTGAAAATTAAGCCAAGGAATGTGTTGAGTAGTATGTTAAGAGATGAGAAGAGTGACTCATGTTTCAGGCTAAACCACTATCCACCTTGCCAAGAGCTACAGGCATTGAGTGGTAGAAATTTGATTGGGTTTGGGGAGCATACAGACCCGCAGATAATTTCTGTCCTAAGATCCAACAACACATCAGGCCTGCAAATCTCTCTGAGAGATGGGACTTGGGTTTCAGTTCCCCCTGATCAGACCTCCTTTTTTATCAATGTTGGTGATGCCTTGCAGGTATATAACGTCAACAGTCTTTTAAATGTCTTTTTCTTTCAATGAGGAAAGAGAATTGTCAAACTGGATCGGCCTCTGGATGAAGTTTACTTCTCTTTTCTTTTTTCTTTTTTCTTTTTTTTTTATAGTTGCCCATTGTCTGTCACTTTTTTAATGAGTTCTCTCCGGAGAAGTTTCTTCAAAAACTCTCTTTTTCTTTCTCTTTCTCTCTTTTTGCCATGTTGAAAAGAATTCCCTGAATTTAGCCTCATGTGTGGTGCCACTGCCACCTCTTGTCTCCCGGGGCCTTCCTCAAATTCTAATGTTAACACTTGTCCCCATTTACCTCTCCTATGGCTAAAATCTTGGGGTTTTTTTTGTTTCTCCTTTTTCTTTCTTGTGTTAGTTCTTTGTAGCAAAATTTCCGATTTGGATGTGGATTAATTTTGTTTTGTTGAGGCAGGTAATGACTAATGGGAGGCTAAGAAGTGTGAGGCATAGGGTGATGGCCGACTCGCTGAAATCAAGAGTTTCAATGATCTATTTTGGAGGGCCACCTTTGAATGAAAAGATAGCGCCTTTACCTTCACTAGTGGAAAAAAGAGAAGAGAGCTTGTACAAGGAGTTCACATGGTGGGAATACAAGACGTCTGCTTACAAGTCAAGGTTGGCTGATTATAGGCTTGGGCTGTTCGAGAAAACTGCTAGTGCAGGCCAATGATGTTGTCAAAATTCCCCATTTTAGCTAGAACTTAGAGTTTTGCTATTGATAAAAGAAAAAGATTATATACACTCATATAATATATTTATTTTACACACTCACATAATATATAAATTTTCAAATTTCTAATATAATTTTATAAAAATTTTAGTACTTTTACCTAAATCTTTAAAATAAAACCATCCGAGTGTGTGAAATTAATATATAAAATGAGTATACGTAGCACTATATCTTAAAAACATGGTGCCAAAATGTTGACTCTGGTTGTCATGGATGGAAAGCACATAGGTTGTTCTTTTACTTTCCTCTATTCATACTCGTTTAAATAGAACCCCCTCTACCATCAATGCAAGTTTATCATCATGTCATCATGTGTACTAATTAGAAGCTATGTGAAAGTCCATATGTGACCCTTAATGTTATATTCATGTTACAATTTGGGTTTCCTTGATTTTAGAGCAAAGTTTTCTTTTTCTTTTTTTTCTTTTTTTCTGGGATATAAACCATCTAATTTAATGCTATTAGATTATCTACTTCGAGTTATGATCTCCTTGTTTTCGACAATAAATATAGGATTTTAGTCTTGCTTCAAAATATACATTTATTATAATTAGATTCAAGCGTGGGATTATTTTTATTTTTTAAATTATACTTTAAATATGAAAGAAGTAAAATTTTTTGTCAATTTTAATAGATGATAATATATAAATAAATAAATAAAAGTGTATTTCTTTAAAAATAAACAATACAAATATTTTAAAATACAAATATAAATTAAAAAGCATATACAAATATATATCTTTTTTTGACCTCGACCTCGACGGAACATTTCCCATTTCATCACTATGATTATTTTTTCATATTGTTTTTTGAGAGAGTTTAGAATGAGAGATGAGAAAAAACAAAGTTGAAATATTGAGAATTGCGTATAAAGAAAAAATGATAAATGTAAAAAAAAAAAAAAAAGGCATTTGATAAGATGAAAAGAAATTTAAAAAAAATTAAAAAATGAAAGAAAAAAGTGCTTTAGACACCTATCAGGATCCCATCATCAAATTAAAAAATAAAAAGATTAAAAATTTTAAAGAAACAAATTAAAAATAATAAAAAAGTACAAAATTAATATATATATATGAAAAGGGAAGAAAGAAAGAAATAAAAAAAAAAAAATAATTTTAAAAACAAAGGGAAAGTTGTACCAAACATCTAACACTATCACGTCATTTTGTTAAAAATAAAATAAAGTATTTTTTTAAAATCCTAAAAAGAAATAAAAAAAAATTTTTTTAAAGTTGAGTTTCAAATTTTAGAATATTAATTACATGAATGATAATTATCGTAACGATTTTGTATCAGCCCGATAAATTTGAAAACGAAATAAAAAAATAACAAAAAATGGAGTCATCATCAATATTTTTATTTAAATGCGATTGATTATCTATTAAAATATATAATTTTAATAAAATCTTAAAATTAATTAAAATTTATTAAAAAGATAATTTTAAAGTCTGCGTAATAGTCTGGATTCAAGAGTCGATTAGACGTAGAGAAAGATTAGTACCTCCACAACGTTCGTTTAAAATGGTACCAATTAACTACGTGTTATCTTTTAATTTTGATAAAAAACAGTTTCATTTTCGACATTTGAAAAATAATTTTCTTGATTTTTTTCATTTATTGAAAATTGATTTTATTAATTATATTAAAAATTTTATTATTCAAATTTTATTCGAGAAAAATAAATTAGAACCATTTTATTAAAATAATTTTAAAATGTTCAAATACCTTGGTAACATTAAAAAAACTATTTCTCACATAGAGATTTTTTAGGCATCGCTTCTTAGAATACTTTAAAATCTCATCCTCAGATGCTCAAATTTACTTTTCGTAAAAAATTTATGCCGTGCATGCGATGTAAATGATAATACGTTAACGCACACATTTTATTTTTATTATTTAGAAATTTTATTAATTTTTATTAATTTTTATTATTATCTTTATTTAAAAAGTTTTCTTTTTCCTCATTTTTTATTACTTATTCTTAATTTATTAATTAATTATTATTTACTATTTTATAACAAAAGAAAATTTTTATTTTATTGAAAATTTTTTATAAATACTCTAATACACTGGTAGTATTTAAAAAAAAATTCTCATTTAAAAATTTCATAGGTATCACTATTCGGAGTATCTTTGAATCTCATCATCGAATAAAATTTTTTTTTTCGTACATTTTTTAAAATTATTTATTATTATTAAGTTTATTTTTAAAAATAACATAATTATAAAAATTTTAATAATATTATCAAAAAACAAAATTTTATTAGAGCAATTTTAAATATTTTAACATGCATAAATATTAATAATAAAATTTAAAGTAATAAAAATAATATTAAAAAAATAAAAAATATTTTTTTTTACCTAAATCGGACTGATCAACGATCTGGTCAACGTCAGTCCGACAGTCTGGTCGCATTAAGTGGTTTGGGGTCGGTTCGACTCGGGTTCAACGGTTCAGGGTCGGTCCAAATCGGGTTCAGCTGTTTGGGACCAGTTCAGTTGGACTGGTCAGAAACTAAATGTGAAGTGGGTCGTCGAGTCGGGTGTACGGACCCCAGGTTGGGTCAAGGGTTGACGAGCGGATCTTTCTACTCAAATCGACGTCATTTTGACCCTTTAATAAAATAGCGTCGTTTTGGTCATTTTGACCTTTTAATGAAATAACGTCGTTTTAGCTTTCAGCTTTTTATAAAAAATTTTAAAAAAATTTCTCTCATTTTCTCTTCTCCCTCTCTCTCTTTACACTCTCAGACCCTCTCTCTCTAGACCAATTGATCGATCATCGTCCTTCGCTCCGATCATCGTTCACCGACCGTTGATCGCCAGTCGCCGTTTAAACGATGATCGAAAAATCTTTAAAAATCTTAAAAAATTCTCCTTGATTCCCTAAACACAGATCTGGGCCTAATTTTACCTGAATCTCACTGAAACGCCCTAGATCGAACCTCAAAAGTTCAGTCAAACCTTTTTTTTTCTCTTTTTTTTGAACAACTAAGCTGATTTTTTTTTTCAGGAAAGCTTTTGACGCTAGGTTCCCCGTTCTAGGGGACTATAGTTTTTTATTTGAAATTTTTTTTGTAAAAAGATTTTTTTTTTATTCTAGAAACTTTTTTTTTGTTTTTTTTCAAGATCCCCCCCTCCATCCCTTGGTCTGGCATGAAGCTTTATTTATAGAGCTCCGACCATACCCCATGCCTGGCTTGGCAAAGGGTTTGGCAAAATGGGGTGCCGTGTACAGTACCCCAAGCATTAACCCCCTACTGCCCTATTATCATTCTATATTGTTTAATATTGGCCCTGTGCTTAAGTAGGTGGCACAGGGCCTAGCGTGGGTGAGCGGTGCCAGTGGTGCCGTGCACGGCACCAGGCACCAGCCCCTCCTCTTTTTTTGTTTTTTCCTTCATTGGTAGTCTTTTGCTTGTTTTTTTTCTTTTTTCATTTTTTTGTGTATTTTGTTTAATTAAAAAATTAAATTAATAAAATAAAAGATAAAACGGCTTTGGGCTTAAAAATAAAATTAGACCTTGGGCCCAATCAAAATCGGGTCTTGGGTTCAGTTGAAATGAAATTGGGCTTTGGGCTTGAGAGCCTGATACATTTGACGAATTTTAAATCAAGATCTAATTCATAAGCCTGGACAAATTTGGTGTTCAAAGTTGCCATTTTTTGCGCATTGCTGAGAATTAAAAATAGTGCAAAGACAAAGACAATAAATTTATCCTGAGTTAAAAAATTTTTTTTTAATTGATACAAACTAATCATAAAGCTTTTCTCATCAAATCGAAATGCTCCTCTTACTCGAGGCTCGATAACTTTTGAAAATTTAAAATCTAAAAAAGGCTCATCTCAGCAGATGCTCAACAATTTTAAAATCTCATTTTGAAAAAAGCTTATCTTAGCAGATGCTCAACAACTTTAAAAAAATTCTCATCTTGAAAAAAGTTTCTCTTAGTAGAGGCTTAACAACTTTAAAAAAATTATTGAAAAAAGCTCCTTTCAACAGAGGTTCAATAACTTTAAAGAAATTCTCACCTTGCAAAAGGCTCATTTCAGTAAAGGCTCAACAACTTTAAATAAATTCATCAAAAAAATAACTTCGAATATCACTATCGAAGGATAAATAATCTCGGATATCACTACCGAGAAGATGTAAATGATTTTGGATATCACCACCGAAAGAAACTCGAATATCACCATTGAAAAAATGTAATTCAAACCTTAATACTCGGATATCACCACTATCATCATCGAGAAGATGCAATTTAAATTTTAATACTCAGATATCACCATTGAGAAGATGTAATTCAAATCTTAATACTCGGATATCACTATCGAAAAAATACAGTTCAAACCTTAATACTCAGATATCACCACCAAAAAAATACAATTCAAACCTTAACACTCGGATATCACCACCAAGTGATTTTGAAAATGTCTTGGATTTCATCACCAAGAAAATGTAAGTGCAAATTTAAACTTTAAACTCGGATATCATCATCGAAAAGATGTACATGACTTCATATATTGCCACCAAAAGAAACTCGAATATTACCATCGAGAAAATACAATTCAAACCTTGATACCCAGATATCACCACCGAGAGCTTACAAATGCAAATTCAAACTTTAAACTCGAATATCACCATCGAAAAAATACAATTCAAACCTTGATACTCGGATATCACCACTGAGAGAATACAAATGCAAATTCAAACTTTAAACTTGAATATCATCATCGATTGATTTTGAAAATGTCTTGGATATCACCACAAAAAAAATGTAAGTACAAATTTAAACTTTAAACTCGGATATCACCATCGATTTTTTTTGAAAATGTCTTGGATATCATTATCAAAAAAATATAATTCATACTTTAATACTCGAATATCACCACCAAGAACTTTAAAAATAATTTATCATAATATTTTTCTTGACTGATATCGATTTCATTGGGTTAACAACTTTTTTGCCAACTAGATTGAGCTTAAAGCTCTCATCTTGTGCCATCTCAACTTGATCTTTTGAGTATGTTTTTGCCTTTTTTTTTTCCTGTTTTCTTCATTAATGCTTTCAAAATTGGTGAGCACCATTATGATGCAAATGTTTTTTCTTAAAATGATGATGCAAATACAAATATCTTTTCCTAAAATGATGCATATGAAATACAAATGTCTTTTCTTAAAATGATGCACATGAAATGCAACTATCTTTTCAAAAATACCAATACACATATGTTTTATCAATGAAGGACAAGTTAATGATGTAAATGCAATGTCAAAAGCTTCAAGTGTTCAAAAAAAAATTGTTTTAAAAAAAAAAGGTCAAGATATGTTACTGCCCAAAATCTTTTTTTCTTCACAGTTCTCTTTCATTCAATCGTGAATCTTCCATCTCAATTCCAAATCCTTTCTTTGTCACTCATTTTCATCAATTTTGCTTTCTTTCTTCACAATTTGAATTTCTCAACTTTTCTT